TTTCTTGCTGGGTATATCCAAGTCCTGGGTCTAGACGGGAACAAAATGGAATTTTTTTTCTTCTGAAAATGAACAATAATTTATTTTCCATCCATACAAGAACCCCCGCTCCAAAGACAGATTGGAGTAGGGTACATCTAAGTTCCCAATTCTGCCCACACTCAGTCCCATACATGCATGTAACGGGAGTCTTACCCTCAGCAATGTTCTTGGATTGCATTTTTTGTTCGATTCACAGTGGGTCGGATTGGGATAATCCAAAAAGAAATTTGCATTCATTTGTACTTTTTGTGGTAATTGTGTAATAAAAGAGAACATGATGTTGCATACAGACCAACAATTGGGGGCCTCCCTGTGGTCTTGCATGTACCTGTTGCAGTTTCTAAGAGGCTGACACTTTCAAATAGGGTGATGTAAAATCCTGTTCGCCACCAAGAAGTTGCCACTTACCGGTACCTCTGTTGTCTGTTCCAATCCCGTTCTCAGCTTTGTTATTGACCCATCAATTTCCAGTAAAAAAAAAATTTAAAAAGGAGTCTGAAAAAAGTAGAACGCCCAAACAAAAGTGTAAGTCATAGAACAGCCCTTTGGCATGGAATATCTGTGCACTGTGAGTTGTCCCCACAAAATGAGCAGAAAGTTGGAATTTTCAAAATCGAGATATTGGTGTATATGAATTCAGCAGAAAAAGAGCTTTGCAGGGGTATGTACATGGAACACTTAGAGTAAAAGTACAAGGTGACAATATGACATTATTCTGGCAGCTTCGCATCTTTCTTTCCAACATTGTTTCAACATTTCTGACCCGGTACAAATAACACTATCGTCAACATTACAGGGAAAATGACATTTTTAAATCTATGATCCTGCGAAATATTTGGAATTAAATAGGAGACAGGTTACTCTTTCCAAATATTACAAAAATCCCAAAATTAACCTCCACTTAAAAATGACTTTGAACTGTCAAAACAGCAAAGAGCGGGATGGAACTTTACTCTCATTTTGCCATACCAAGTCACATGTATGTACTTGGCTCTATTTTTTTTAAGTCGGAAAAGCATACTCTGGCAGCCCACCGAGTGACACTACTCAATACCACTTTCCAACTTGTTTGGACTTTGTAGTAAGTCGACTATCAAATCTGTTTTGGGGCTTGGTGTGGTCTGGTACTCCACTCCCCCCAAAACAAAAGGAAGTCATCATTCAAGAGGGTGTGGTGTCACAGTTTTTTACGAAGAAGCCATACCATCTGACCCTGCCTCATCTTCTGAAGTCTTCCGCTTTGACTTTCAAGAGCGTGTTTGGCTAGTTGTTAATAACTTCATCCATGCAGAGGAACGCACAGCATCTTGGCCTATTCGCGATCGGAGATCTTCTTGTTTGTAATGCATTACTCAGATCCCTGTTTGTTGTAACAAAGATAATCCACACAGCAAACGTAGCTCCACACTTCTGAGTAGTTGTGTCAGTGTGCGTATCCAAGACAGATGCATGCACGTCCCGGAACGCAAACAGAATCCGACCCAGGCAAACAATCAAAGCCGTGTCGGAATGTTTGCGTGTGACTTCCTTTTGTGCTGGCCAGTCCCAGTCATAAGTCGGCCTGAAACCAGGCCAGTGGGTTTGCCCAGTCCGTACTAGCCATGGCAGACCATCACTAACAAACTTCTTAGTTGACTCAAGACAGACACACAAAAAGAGAGTATGTTAATTTTCAACGCCTAAACCTGCATGTACATTTTAAAACAAGCTGTTGGCTCTGTTGTTCTTGTTGGCAGACAGTGGTTTCGTGGTGTAATGTAAGAACAGTTATATGAAAAAAAAATTGAACGTAATATGCATCGTACTTCATTCAACTATTTGGTGCCAAATTTACACTCACTTTTGACACATTGGCCCTGGTTGAGTAAGTTTCAATCACAACTTTATTTGCATCATCATGATTATTGAGAGCAAAAGGGTAGACATTTATCAGAGAAGCTGTTATAAGAGGATTTATTTTTAAAGGTCAACTGTGATTCGTAATTTGCCGTTTTGTCCAATTGTCTGCCAATTGTCGTGATTTTTGTTTGCAGTGAGATCCATCTTTTGCGTGGGGAAAAAAAACACCTAAAACCTAGTCAGCAAAATACGTTTGTGCTTGAAATAAGACTTATGTTGATAACCTGGTTTAAAAGTTGTCGTCTTTTTGAGGGTCATCTTCATTTTGTCATTTTTTGTTAATCGTATTTAAAGGACCTTGGCGACTTTGGCATCGCACCGCGCAAGGTCGTGACCACCGACAAATTTGCCGGAGAAGGGAAGCCGCCCAAGAGACCGGCAGCCAGCGCTGGGCCCAGCGTCATACCCGGGGACCACCCGCTACAGGACCTGATCGTGCCAAACAAGTGAGCACAGTGGTGGGTCGAGGGATGGGAAGTACAATGCTCCCTCCCTAGCATATTTGAACAGAAATCTGGATTTTTTTTTTCAGCCATGCCAAAAGTTGTGTCTTGCAAAGTTGAAGAGGACGGATTTGTGATCCTTGGCCATGAAATGAGAATGTTGTCAGACAAATTGATTTTTTTTTCAGATTTATGATCACAAGATAGAACAAAGAACTTGTGTAACACTTCTGGTATCAGCTTGTTAATGTTTGTAGTTTGGGAAATTCAGGAGAAATTCAGCGATTGGTTTGTCAAATTAAAAAAATGACTTCCTTCTCTAAAATGGTTTAAATAAGTAATTGTAGTTGGAGATTTTTTAGATTAATCTTAATCGGAATTTAACAGTATAAAAAACTGATCTTGTATTCCCTTTGAATCACATCGGCATCTGTTTAATGTAATACCAGTTACGTATCGGTGGACATTATCTTGATGTATGTTCTTCTGAGAACTTACAGAGGCAAAAATGATTTCCAGTTCAGCTGGTCAGTGCATTGTTAATGTAAGCACATCCGTTTTTGTCCTACACTTGAAATGCCAAAGAAATGAGTCATTATGTAATGTGGAATTAAGTCCAGCCCTTTCTTGGAAGAAGTTTACATCTTCAATCGCTGACAAATCCATGTGGTTTGCTGTCTGTTCCTGCCCAGTGAGTCAATTGGGGCGCGGCTCCTCCGGAAGATGGGTTGGAGGGAGGGGCAGGGCGTGGGGCCAAAGGTCAGGAGAAGGAAGAGGGCGAGCGCCCCCAGTGGTGAGTCACAGTCAAGCCGTCCATTGATTAGTTCTCGTTACAATCGAATGGCAAATGGAAATACCTGTGCTTGGTCATTCAAGCTTACATTTCCGTTCCCGGAGAACCGTTTTGTTCCACATGGCCCCAAGCTTAAGATCCCTAATGCAGGCGTGCAACTTGTCCTCGGATCAGCTGACTTCCTCATTTTTCACTTTACGCTCGTGCCATTGAAAATAGAAAAACACTGTAAAAAGTCTTGTAAAGATCGGAATTTCTTCCCAGTCCAAGTTGCATGCCTGTTATTGGCTTCATAATCAAGCTCAGTCGAGTGAAATCACAGTAGTTTCTACCTGCATATTTACCCACGTCTAGAAAGTACTTTCATACAAAGACAGTTTTCCGTTGTGAGACAATTTCAGCAATGTCGTATAAGAGGTAGCATTGGTACAGTACATTTTTCCTTGATAACACTAATACCTGCACTTTGAGATTTTTAAAGCATTTAGAGTAGATTAATATTCCTGTCCCCATACCAGGCTGTCTCCACTATTTGAACTGAAAAACCCCCAAATTTTTGCCCGACTGGCGCTCACGACATCATGGTTATGTTTCAGGTCCTGAGGGGAAAGTATCCATGAGTGTTGACGATGATGAAGATGGCGAGTTCTACAAGGACTTCCTCTTTGCGCCCGCTGATGTTGAGGAGATCACACTCTTGGCCAAAGACGACCACCGCGGCATCGGGTACCGAGGGTTGGACCCAGCCCTGGCGGGCATGGGGCAGCACTTCTCACTGTTCAAGGAGCAGCCGGCGTATAGTCGCAGCGGAAGGCGGGGCATGTCTGGAAAGGTGCAGCCAAAAAAAAGGGTGACCTGTCACCACAAAATGAGCCAAAAGTCGGAATTTTCAAAACTTGAGATATTGGTATTTTTGAGTTCAGCAGAAAAAGAGCTCTCCAAATGGCATGTACATGGAACACTTAGGGTAGCAGTACAAGGTGACAATGTGACATTATTCTGGCAGCTTTGTGTCTTTGTTCCTGACATTGTTTCAACATTTCTGACCAGGCATCAAAAATGCTGTTGTCAAAATTGTTGAGAAAATGGCATTTTTAAAGATATAATCCTGCCAAAAAATTGCAATTAAATAGAAGGGTTTCTCTTTTTCCAAATATTACAAAACCTCCCAAACTGACTTCCACTTCAATATCTGACCATAAATCATCAAAATAGGGAAGAGCGGAATTTGACTTGACGCTCATTTTGTTGTAAAAGGTCACAGATATCCTCTTGAGCCTGGAAAGGCATCAAAATCTGCTCTGTCAGTGTCTGTGGATTTGCAGAACTGCAACATATTCTGTTGGAAGTGAGCGTTGGTGCAACGGCTCAGGAGCTTTTATTTCGGTAACAGGTCACGTTTTGCTAGGGAAACAAGAAACGTAACGCTGTCAATCCTAAAATGGAGGGACAGTCTGCTTTCACCTAGTTCAAGCATACAGTCGGTTTGGATGCCAGAGATCAAGATGGAAACCTCCCCTTCACAATCAAACTGTGTATTCAGAAGCTTGTCCAATTTTGTTTATTTTTGTTTATCCAAATCGTGGAGCAGGCTGGCAAATGCTACAAGTTTGGAAACACTCATTCACTGGGAAAATAAAACAAAACCTGATTCCAAATCCATTATTATTAAAGGGTGAACACAATTTCTTCATTGTGACAGGGAATTTTTACCGCTGTAGACGAATTTGATGTCCCCCGTAACACTAGCACTTGTTACCTGCAATGGCCCCCGCCAATGGCTGTTTACATTTTGACAAGTGCTGTACAAAGCTGTGTGCTATCAAATTCATCTTTAGTAAAACTTGCGCATCGAAAGTAACTATGTATTTTTACTCAATCTTGCCACCAGGCCTTTGGTGTGGGTGCATTTGAGACTACCGATGACGATATATACGCCGTAGACAGTATGGCCAACTATGACCGCGTCCTCGGAGGGGAGGAGCCAGGAGGGGGCACCTATGGTTGGACGGCGCCCAAAAGTCACGGCAAAGGTCAGGACAACTCAGCTAGGGCCTCTCGTAACTGAAAAATGCCTTTTAGATCAAGAGATTTGACTGAATTCATTTGCTTTATCTGTAATCATCCGAAATTGTTGACTAGTAGAGCAGTCGCCCGCTTAGGGAATGATTGAAAATAATACTTCATGTCTTTCTCTTAAAATAACCCTTGTGTTCATAATGCAGAGATTAATTTTTTTTTACTGGACAGAGGTCTGTTGCTAAGTAGGAATAACATTGTGACTCTTTTTGATGATCATTAGAAATTTGCATGACCTAAAGTAGTAGTCTCTTCCTGTTAAATGTGGAATAAAAAAAACAGGAAAAAGGAGACAGAAATACATGCAATTGTGAAGGACACGGTGAATAAATGACCCAAATAACTGAAGTCGCCTCTGAACCTGATCACTGTGATGCACAAGCAAAGCTAACAATCGCTACTCGATTTTTACCGGTTGTCCCGAGATATTTTTTTTACGAGGCATCTTGCAAGACAAACGGTAGTCAATCATGCATGACCAGAATCCTGCATCCATGGTATCAAAGGACAGCTCACTACCCCTAGTCTGTGATAATGGTCAATGGTGCATAACGTGCTCTCCTACATGTATGTTGCCTTTGTTTGTGGGTTAGCTTGGGGGGGAGACTTGTACAAATAAGAAGGAATGCCACTTAGTGAAGTTATGTTAGAATCCTGAATAGAATTATTCAGAGACTTTGTTGATTACTGATTGTTGATTTGTGTGGACACAATGGATCAGTCCGTTTGCCACACAGCTCTGCGAAGGGGGGGCTTGTGGCTCCACTTGTTCAAGACTGTGTGTTCCCTCCCCCCCCCCAAAAAAAACCTAACCAGAGGTTTAGGGCGGTCTTGGCTTGATATGGCGAGATTAAGCCATTGACCCTTTTGTGCGTAGCCAGAGATTGTGTGTTTAAGAGTACCCGGCACACATTCTTAGCTGCTCTTGAGAGCACTGCGGTGGTGCTTGGCTTCAGGATTTTGAGTTGCCGATGCTTTTAGCCCCTGCTCACTTCGTCTTTTAACCTTTTCCTCTCTGCATCCCCTTAATGACTTCAGTATTTGCCTTAACGCCCATTTCCTAGGCCTCTTTTGCTCGGATGCAACTCAGTCTTGCAACATTCTCCTGCTGTCTCCATATTGATATTGGATACGTCTATGGCCATGATCCACCTTACGACACATTTCTTGAATATGTTCCTGTTTAGAGACTTGGCTTCATTCCAGTTTATAAAAGAGCAGAAAAACTCCAGAAAGTTCTGTTTAACCACTTAGCTGTAACAATCCACTCAGTCTCCATGGGAAGAGACACAAGGTCTTTATTGGCAGTCAATCACTTAAGGTGCCTTGTTGGATATTGGAGGATTAAGCCGATGCAGGGCTTCAAGAAGATAACGCCTCAAAGCACAAGTAGACAGAATTGACATTTTCTTTCATTGTTGGTTTTTTGGTGATGCATTGTGACAAAAACTTGAATGAACCCTGACTTGTAGCTTTTTCTATGAAGATTTCACACACTTGACATGAACATTGCTCCAAGGGAGCTCTGAGTGTCCACCTAAAACGGAATAGTGGTCCCATGTAACAGCGCCCTCTTTAGGCAATATGAATTAAATTCATTATTGTACTCTGTAAGTTAAACTCGGACTGTTAGGTCTATATGCAATAATAATAATAATAATTCATTTATAAAGCACAAATTTCATATAGATACGTTCAAATTCGCTGTACAATGAAGACATTAAGCGTGGTCGAGCCGATGGCATACAAGGGCGCCTTGGGCAGCCGCAAAACGACCCACATTCACCAACATCAGAAAAGAGGAGACAATAAGAAGCAGTTACAGTTTTAGAGGTGGGAGGAAAACCCCAGAGGAATATTCTGGGTAAAACCCACGGAGTCAGGTAGGGACTGAAAACCCAATCCACATGTGGACCGGGCCGGGAATTGAACCCGGGACCACAGAGGTGGAACGCGAGGAAAGAACTACCTTGCCAACCCGACTCCCAATGCAAGTAACCTGATAAATCCTCCAGAAAACACGGGGAAATACTGTTTGTACATTGAATATCAAGGAGCATCACATCCGATTTGGTTGGCTGTGCTTTCTGGAATCCTGCCAAGTCTTCAAAACTGCCCAGTAGATTTTTGAGGACCTGGGAAAATTAGTTTGAATCTCGTATTTAACTCAAAAATTCATGTGTAATTTTGTGCATCTTGTTTGGGTGGGCAAACATCATTTTGTCTTGTTTAAAAGTAGATTTCTTTCATGCTTGGCAACTTCTCATTTGGAAGAGGTTCACAAACTTCTGGTTTTGTTTATTTGAAACGTCGTTGCTCTCCTTTTGGTACAGGAAACAAAGGAGTGTTAGATAATTTCAAGTCTTCAGCGCAAGCACGACCCCCGAATAAGGTGAGTGTTGAAGCCATGATAAGTTCCTTATCAGCTACTCACAAACATCAACTGCTTGGAGAGTTGTCTAACTTAAGCTCCCTCGCAGAGCAATGCAAGGTGGTCAGCATCCGCACCCAACGTTCCGATTCTCTTCGCGGAAACGGAGTAGAAGATGTCTGCACTAAAGGTCAATGTGTTGCATGGAGAAGCGACAAATTTCTGTATATCCTGACTTTGTGCTTACAGTTTTTGTGTTAGCGCTGTAAGCGCTGAGTGGCGATTGTAAGTTTAGTATTCCATGGTCAGCAGAGCTGTAAAATTTGATTTAGACATCAGGAATTGTTGTTTCATTGCTCATTTTTGATTTTTTGAAGAAGTTTTTAAGAATTTAAAGATTTACACTGTATATGATAACCAGCAACTTTACATTTGCAAAGCCCTCCTTTGATTTGAACTGTCAAATCTCTTCCCAAAGTCCATTCATTTGTGTAGAATGCTTCAGGGAGGGGTGGAAACAGCGGTTACTTTCTGAGGACATTTTTTCACTGGGTATTCGTGATTTCCCTGTTTTTGCGTTTCCATTGTTAGGTATTTCCACCGCCAGTGCTGCCCAAGGGCTTCCGCCCCTTCCACATATTCGAGAGCTCCAGCAGCAAGGAGAACAGGCCTCCTCAGGCCTCAGCTGCGACAGACTTCAAAAGCAGTCGGTTCCTGCTGAGCGCCACGCAGCGTGGCGCCCTGCTGGGCGAAGAACAGCTGCCCGGTATGGCCTGAGACTTCATCGCGCCTTTGTCAATCACCTATCCGTGTACATTTGCCACATTGTGACCCTCTCTGCAAAAACGAGTTTCAAGTCGCCAGAGCCACTATTGAGTGAAAGGCTTTATAAAAGAATCTTACGCAGTGTAAAGCAATAGGAACTATTTTTTCATCCCCACGATGTGCAGACGTCCGTCCTACTTGAGTTGTGCGCCAAAGTTTGTTGGTAACTTGGGTAACGGGTGCTGATAGGGATGGTGTCAACAGAATTTTATAAAAGCTGCCTCAAATGTTTTCTGCCGAACGGTCTGGAAATGAGACGAGATGTTGTTCTTGCTAGGGGAAAAGAAAACAAAAAACCATCAAAAGAGCCCTAAAAAAATTCACGGTTGCTGTTGGTTGCAAGTGTTTCTCCGCTGGTTGTTCTTTTTTTGGATATGCAAACATTTGAAGTGAAACATTCTGACTGTTTTCTTCTGTCTTGTTGGCTTGTTTGTTGTTCTTTTGTAGGCCCATCATATGTCTTTGATTTCCTCTCCCCGGAGGATCGTCAGAAGTTGAAGAGCGGTGCTGTGTCTAGTCCGGACGAAACAGCCCCGGACCGAACCCGCCATGCCCCGAGCCCCGCCCTGGCCACGCCTACCGCTATAGACCCTCGGCGTCTGCAGGCTTTGGGTTCCGGGTTCAAGCTCTTTGCCAGAGACGCTGCCAAACAGCAGAGATATGAAGAATACTTGGCCAGACGGAAAAGTGGAAAAGGTAAATGGGTTCACATTTTGTAAAAGATGAGAAAGGAGGTTGATTTTTGGTGAAGTTGGGATTAATCACTAAATTTTGAAATTCCTTATTTAATTTTTTCATTATTTCTTATTACCGAATGAAAATGAGAGTTACTTCAGAAAATCAATTCATTTTTCCCGATAAATGATAGTGAAGTAAACCCCACCCAAATTGTTGAAGAGAAAGTATGGAAGCTTCCCACAGTCATGGAAAAATCATGGGAAAAAAGTTGTCCTGGAAAGTCATAGGAAAGTTATGGAAAAATTGGGAAAGAAGTAGGTTGTCCTGGAACCCTATTGTCTAGAAGTCCTGGAAAAGTCATGGAAATCAATAATCATGCCGGAATCGTTTTAGATGAGTGGCTTTGGATGTGATAACAGAATAATGATCCATTTGCGGGCTCTTCCTGTTAGTCTCTACTAGCAATGCCAGTTTTCCAGTTCGTAATACCTAACAGCCGTTCATTTTTGTAGACTTGGACGCAGCACCACCTGCCTGTGATCTAACGGAATGGGAGAGGCAGAGGGAGGCGGAGGAGTTCGTCCGCGCTGCCTCCCTCTACCAGCCCCTAACCGGCCTGATGGCCACGCGGTTCGTCGCCGCCAAGCACAAGGACGACGAGGACACCGTGGACGTCCCAGCTGAGGAAGGGGTGAGTGGTCTTGGTTTCCCTGACGGTTGCCCCAAGATCCATGACGTCTTTTCCGAGAATTACCAACCCACAGACATCTACTCGGCTTACAATAGACTCGCTCGGCAAAATGCAGGCTACCAGCCAATGCGTAATGCATTGCATGCTTCTTTCACAGGTTCCCAGCTAATTTTTGCTCAGCATGTAAATCTGTTTAGCTATAATTTATGGTCAGGAGATTGGCCTCTGAGCTTAGGCCATGTCCAAATTTCCTGGCTGCAGCTTTTAATTACGTGTAACTTGATAGGAACTGGTCGCAGCCACAATTATCAACTCACTTGTATATTCAAGTTGCAACCAAGAAGTTCAGACGCGGCCCTAATGTCATGCATCTACTCACCACAAAAAGTTACTGAGCATTGGGAAACATTTGCTTTAAGCTAAAATGGGTTACCAGCCAAAATACCATGGGATGTATGTTGCTTGTGATTGGTTCTCTTCTGACGTTTGCTGAGCACATAACATTTGCTGAGCTAAATTTTCTTTACATCAGCTCCTGGAAACTGTGTCTTCTGATGCTGCAATTCCAAACAACTTTTTCTTCCATCCTGGGGTTTTGATACCTTTGTTGACCTTTGACCTTTCCTCAGGGGGACAAGTCACAGCAAGCCCAGGCGGCCGAGATGAAGATGTTTGGCAAGTTGACCCGCGACTCGCTGGAATGGCACCCGGACAGCCTACTTTGCAAACGCTTCAACGTCCCCAACCCGTACCCTGGGTGAGTCTGGTTTTCACACTTGTCTTTGCCGTATTCCAAGCGGGGGCCACGTGTAGAAAGTCTTGTTTTCCCCCAGGCACGTGCTGTTCCTTGATGCAATGTTCCTTGATGTGATGTCGTGTTGAAATGCCTTGGTTGGGAAGGAGTGATTTCAGACACAGTGACTCCATCCCTGGTCAGAGTGCTTTGCAGTGGCGTAACTAAGGGGGACGTGAGAGGGTGCCCGTGCCAGAGCTTAGTCCCCTGTTCTCATGCCTTGGCAGCCAAAGGGGGAACATTTAGCAACAGTTAGGGTCTTACCACCCACGATCAGAGAGTCAGAGTTATGTTGCGTCCTTAGACAAGCCACCCTACCCCTAATCTGTCTCACTTCACCCAGGAGTGTAAATGGGTACCAACATTTGCAGAGCACTAACCTGTCTCAGAGGTGGCATCTCATTATACAGGGGAAAAGAACTATTCTCAGTCGTTTCTTTCAAAGGAAACAAAACTGGGTGTTCCGAGGGGAGCAAGTGGGACCCCCCTTTCTGGACAAGAAATTGAAAAAAAAATAAAATGGGAAAAAGCAAAAGAAACAAAAAAAAGAGGAAAGAGGACGAATATCACTAATTTTCTTGGGAAAAAAATTGAGATATAAACTTGACCCCGTCCCACTGTTGATTGTTTGTTAATTGCTTATTGTTTTTTTTTTAGCTTGTCAGTGCTTTTTTCCAGTCTGGCAATTTTCCCTCCCTGAAAAGAAGTAATTCCTCCCCCTTCCCCTGGACAATATCCTTGCAACACCCATTAGAAACACAACCAGCTTGGGGTAAACTCAAGTCACGGTGCTGAAGGAGCACCATTGGGATGTTTCCAGTTGAGTGCTGTAGCGCCACCTAGTGGCCACATGATGTCATGCCCTCCCTGACCAGTACAAGCTTTGTTTGTCACATGAAAGATCTTTCTGGAACAGTCACAATATTTGTCAATTAGTGGTTAGCAAACTGTTGCCGGCCTCAAGCACAAAAGCAAAAGAATAAACCAACAACACTGAATAATAACCAATACTATTATACACTATATATGCACAAGTGCCCAAGGTCACTCTCTTGCATGTTGGTGCAGTGCACAACACGACACAGCTGTGCTTGTTTGAGGTGTTTACCAAGTGACCCAAAGAGTGACTTCAGCATAGGAGGGTTAAAATGCCTTCCTCTTGAATGTAAATGGAACAAATTAGCAATTTGGGGCAAAAGCTGCTCCAAGTCACGGATGAACTTTTTGAAAACTTTGGCCACCCGTACAAAATGGCAGCTAATGTTTATCAACAAAGTAGGCGTCTACAATTGGGATTTGGAGGATATTAACCCTGCTGAAGTCACTCTTTGGGTCAAACACCTCAAGGAAGTACAGCTGTGTTGTGTTGTGCACTGCACCAACAGTCCCT